CGAGCGGTCCATTTTGCACACCCTTAACCAAAACGCGTATACTCCCTCTCCCTCCCTCTCCCTCCCTTTCTGCCGTCACCTCAACGCGGTGCCAATGACCGGCATCGACGTTGACTTGGAGGTCGCCATTGCTTCCCATCACCGACAGCACGAAAGCCACTTCAAACAATAAATCCGTAAAGAATTGCAGAGGAGTATATGGAGAAAGTGCGGCGTCGAAGGCTTGAATGATAACCGCTACAAGAAACCGTGCACATAGAGACATTTTTTTCCAGTCGGACAATGACGTTTTTTAAAACTCCATGCACATATGGTAACGTTTTCGAAGACGTCCCATGCGCGTCGCGAAATTCGGTGTCATAGAGTTTTAGGCAACAGTGCCTTAAGAATCATCGTTGTGATGGGATATTGTCAGTGTCATTTTTACTACGCGCGTGTATATTTTTGGTATGACGATCAAACATATATTCTCTAATCGGTACTTAGTATTATTATGTGCAAAAGATTAAACTCGGGAAGTCCATAAAAGGAAAATACTCAAAGTCACTATGTTACTTGATTGCATATGTAACTTTTTGAAAATTCGACAATGTAGTCTTTTCGGTCAATTTGACTGGAAATTGATGACGTGGACGTCGACCGTTCTACATGGCATGGCCGACGTTGACATGGACAATTTTTGTAATTATTTTTTTAAATTTTCTGAATTATTAATAATTTAATTTTTTTTTCTTATCTATTTTCTTTCTATTTCTTTCCAAATTGAGCCAGCGAGGCTAGCCGACCCTCTCCAGCCACTGGGTGAGGTTGACGAAGCCCTTATTGGCTGTGCGTGAGGGTTGCTGGCCCAGAGTTGGAAAAAAAAGAAAAAAAGGAAAGAAAAAATATTCAGAAGAAATTAAAAAATTGCAAGAATTGTGCCTTGCCATGTAACACGGCCAACATCCACGTCGTTAATTTTCGACCAAAATTGATTGGAATGATTAAATTGGCAAATCTTCGAAAGATTTATGATTAAATTGATAAAATCAAAAGGTTTAGAGCTGAATTGATATCGTACAATATGTTTATGACTTTTTTTTTTCATAATTTTCCCATTAAAGTGTTATTATGGAAGGAATCCAAACTATATAAATCATGCTAAATTGCCTAATAAAGGGTATTCATTTATATTTCTAAAATTCACTTGTTTACTTATGACGTATTATCGCTATTCTCTTTCCAATTATCTATACTGGAGTAGTTTTTTTCTTTTTTTTTGGTCGGAATCCTTGTGTAGCTTGAGACGACAGACTTTGCCCCAAACTCATACTCGATTGTTCCCTAACATTAACTCCTATCCATCCTTAACCCAAGACGATCTTTTAAATAGGGTTCCAAACTTGTCTCGACTAAATACGTGACCAGCTGAAGCCAAACTATATATTATTTTCTAAATATTTATAGCAAATATATATAGTAAGATAATGGTAGATATATTAATAATGTAGTGTCTAGTTTAGAAGAATAATTGTAATTTAGGAAATTAGGTAGTCGAGAACAGATGAGGTACTTGCCAACTAAATCCCGAATCACTCGGAAGAAAAGACTCAATTTCAAACGCATCTCAATTCTTATAGGGCTTTCTAAATGGGATCCTAAGCTCGTTCATAGCTCAAAACCTTATTACGCCTTCACAAGATTTTTCAACCAATTAAAAATCCGAGTTAATTCGACCCAATGCTTTCCTTGGCAATTAGAGATTGTGAAGTCTACCCTCTTCTTACAAGACACAACTTTTAGCGTACGCGAATCAAGATTTCAATTTCCGTATACTCAAGTGGTTCAAAGCGAAAGATTATGTTGCCCGAACACGTAGCCTGCATTTGCGTAGATATGCCAAAATGAGTCATAGAATCATTTCTTAACCCATATGATTCTAAACCCATATTTGATGGGCTGAGTTATTACATATTTTAGGGACCAAGTGTCAAAAAAATCCTAAACTTTTTGCATTTGTGTCAATTTAGTTATAAACCTTTTTTTGGTGTCAATTCAATCCTAAACCTTAACCTTTTGCATTGGTGCCAATTGAGTCCTAAACCTTTTTTGGGTGCCAATTCAGTCCTAAACCTTTTGCATTGGTGCCAATTTAATCCTAAATCTTTTGCATTGGTGCTAATTCAGTCCTTCGATACGTGAATAGCTATTAGCCGGAAGGACTGAATTGGCACAAATGCAAAAGGTTTAGGACTGAATTGGCACAAATGCAAAAGGTTTAGGATATAATTGGCACCAAAAAAAGGTTTATGACTAAATTGGCACTAAAAAAAGGTTTAGGACTTTTTTGACACTTTTCTCCATATTTTAGTTATATTCAGTAAATGGGTCATATATAAATTTAAAATGATAAAGCCTAAAGTAATATAAGCATTATATGCATTCATAACTCATTTAGACCCAACTCATCTCAATGCTCTCTCTTCACTCTCTCTCGCCCTCGTTTACTCCACGCTTTCGCCTCAATTTGGGTATGAGTTTTCATAAATTTTGTTAAATATGGAAGTGTTTTAGTAATCTGGACTGAGTCGAGTGAAAATGGGTCAATTTAGATCGGACCATTTTCGACTCGACCCGACCTGCTCGTTTGACGAATCTACATTTGCGTACGTTCTTATCACCTAAAAAGACTTGATTTGTGGTCCAAGAAGAGCACAGTTTAGTCATCGAAACTAGGGATGATCGGTTCCCGATCCGGTCCGATTCCCAAAATTGAGAATCGGGGACCGGACCGATTGGTCCTAGAACTGGGAACCGGACCGAACCGATTGGTCTTAGAACCAGGAACCGGACCGATTCGGTTCCAGTTCAGTCCGGTCCAATGGAACCGGTCATTTACGATTTAGTTTTCTTTTTTGGGTTAAACATTTAGGGTTTAGTTCACGTTTTACTAATTTTTATCAATGAATTTATGTCTGATTTTTGTCGATGAATTTATGTCAATGAAGTTCACTTAGGGTTTAGTTCACATTTTACTAATTTTTTGAAAATAAAATTAAAAAAAATATATAATTGGTTCGGTTCGGTCCGATTCCTCCTTAGAATCGAGAACCAGACCGCCCAGACACCGGTTTCACTTTTAGGAACCAGGAACCGGATCGATACTCTTGGGAACTGAACCCAACCGGCCGGTCCGGTCTAGTTCAGGCGGTTCCCGGTACGAGCGGTCCGTTTTGCACACCCTTAACCAAAACGCGTATACTCCCTCTCCCTCCCTCTCCCTCCCTTTCTGCCGTCACCTCAACGCGGTGCCAATGACCGGCATCGACGTTGACTTGGAGGTCGCCATTGCTTCCCATCACCGACAGCACGAAAGCCACTTCAAACAATAAATCCGTAAAGAATTGCAGAGGAGTATATGGAGAAAGTGCGGCGTCGAAGGCTTGAATGAGAACCGCTACAAGAAACCATGCACATAGAGACATTTTTTTCCAGTCGGACAATGACGTTTTTTAAAACTCCATGCACATATGGTGACGTTGTCGAAGACGTCCCATGCGCGTCGCGAAATTCGGTGTCATTGAGTTTTAGGCAACAGTGCCTCAAGAATCATCGTTGTGATGGGATATTGTCAGTGTCATTTTTACTACGCGTGTATGTTTTTGGTACGACGATCAAACATATATTCTCTAATCGGTACCAAGTATTATTATGTGCAAAAGATTAAACTCGTTAAGTCCATAAAAGGAAAATACTAAAAGTCACTATGTTACTTGATTGCATATGTAACTTTATTCAAAATGATTTAAGATCATCAATCTCTTAATCTCATCATAGCCACAGATGAAGTACAAACCATGGAACCACACTCCATCGAGTTGTGGACTTCTCGAAGGCTGAAAGTGTGAAGAGAATATGGAAAATGTCAATTACTGCTACTTTATGGACACTGTATTTGATAAAATTTTAATCACGAAAACACTAGATTTAAGACCCCTAAATGTTTTATAAATTTTAATCAAAATTTAACTATTTTTCTAAAAAAGTGCATCAAGCTCTAAATCATGTGCTTTTTTTTCCTCTCTCAAAAAATGGATACGGGAATGAATAAAAGACAAAGATAGTTATGGTCCATTGAAAGGGCTAACTGCTCTATGGAAGTCCATTGTCATTTTTCAAAGTTTTCAATCAATTGTAAGCCTCGATGACTCAAGAAAATGACCATTCATTCTAATTTTGTCTGTCCTAATAGAGATTGGCGTTTTACACCAATCCGAATCGCTCCTGGAACGTTAAACGAAGTTTCAATCACTTGCAGGGGTTATTATAAGGTCCTTCGTGTATCAAATTATCATCGCAACGTACTTTTAAGATCGATAATTGCTGACCACGAAGTATTATACTAACATAATGGAGGGATCAAAATAAAATATGAGTCAAATCGTAAGGATCGATAATTTCTGCATGTATTCTTTAGTCAAACTAATATAGTCTTGAGTCCCAATACAAGACCTCGAACGCATTATTAGCAGTACTTAGACGGTCCACTCTAAATTGCCAGACCATTATATATCTTCTCCCTCACCAAGACAGGAACAAAGGAAATGCCAAATCATCATCACCTTCTCTGCATTTTCTCTCCTCCTCTTCTTCTTCTTCATCAGGAGCTTCCATGGCGTCCACTCTGCTTTCCCGACCGCATGCGACTGCATCTCATCATCGTCTCCATGTGGTGACATCCCCATCCAATATCCATTATGGACCGTTGGCGATCCCGCTGTACACTGCGGCTACCCAGGCCACGATTGCCCGTCTGGCTCCGGTTATCTGACCCTCTCTCTTCCGGACGACACCTGCTCCGTCACTGAAAAGGACATTAACGAGATGGGTCAAATTACAAAAGAAAAGGACGGTCCTATACTTAATGGGGCGGTTCTCTAGTCCGTTCCCTGGGAATTGTGAGGCAATGGTGCTAAAAAGACGGGGGAGGGTTGCGTGTCCAAATAGTCACATGGGAAAAGTAGTCAAGTCCTAAGTCAAAGTCCTCGTCTTCGTGTCTTCGTTGCACCAAAGTCTTGGTCTTTGTTCACCTAATAAAGGTTTCAGTCTCTTGGCAAGACAAAGAGCTTCTCGTTAGTGCGTTGGATCAAGTCATTCCCAAAAGCAGCATTATTCTTATCCCTCCGCATCTTCTTCCTTTTTACATGTACCCTCCTCCTTGTTTTGCTCCAAACACCATCTCCATTCGGATGAGTCTTACCATGTCGTGTTCCTCTCTCTCCTTACTATTCATCATCTTCCTGGTGCCAGCTTCCAGCTACTTCCAGCCGTTCCAAGATTGCGCTCCTTTTGTTTGTGGAGATCAACAAATCAGCTATCCTTTCAGGCATAATGAACGACCAAATCACTGTGGGTATCCAGGCTACGAGCTTGGCTGTGACGGAGATAACCTGACCCTGTCCATGGCGTCCCTGGAATATCGGGTTACCCACATGGATAGGAGCGCACAGATCCTTGAGGTGGCAAGGATGGATTTATTGAAAGATATGTGTCTTCAAACATATGTTAACACCACTTTAGACTTGAATCTGTTCAACTACACTTCCAGCGACCTCAATTCCACCTTATTCTACAAATGCGACCCATCAATGAGCTATCAACCTTATGAGTTCTATTGTCGTGCGTCTGGAGGTGGCTACCTTGCTCTCGATGTGGACCTTGAAAATCAAGTACACGAGCCATGCAATGTCAGTGTCCTTGTCCCGATTTTAAAAAGTGAAGCTCTAGGTCCGTCACCCGCTTTGGAGGGAGGCGACTATGGTAGATCTATTAGTGAGGTCTTGAACAAAGGCTTTGAGATTACCTGGATTGCCGACACATCGCAGTGCGAAAATTGCGCTAAATCAGGGGGAAGATGCGGGTATGGCTGGACAAGGCAAGATTTCGATTGTTTTTGCCCTGATGGAGCCCATTCAACGACCTGCGATGGACCTCTGGGTATGTATGCTTACTCTGACCACCTAATATGTGGTTTTCAATTAGCTAAAGTTGTTCAACCAGAGGGATTGCTGGGCATACCCTTCCCTTGGCTTGTTATTTGGGAAACGACCCGCTCATGCTCCTAAAGCCTGACAATCTCATTTTGCTGGGCATGCCCTTCCCTCTATTGAACTGCAGTCATCCTCCCTATGACCTCCATGATCAAGTTACGATTCAGACTCCCAAGTCTTAAAACTTTTTCGTCCCATCGTCTGCAACCTTTTCTGCTTTAATTGTTAGATATTTAGGTCGGTATCTGCCACCACAAGATCCAATGGTTTAAATAAATTGAGTGACGATGCTCCCAATTTACTGTAAAATTTTGCAAATGTTGCGCTAAAACTACTTGTTTTCTTCTTGGGGTTCTATCCAAATGAAAAGAAAAACTACGTCTCCACAGGTGGTGCTAAAATCTTATCATTCGCAGGGTTGAAATATATTTACAATATCGATAGAGGTGAACAGCACACGTAATTAAATCTCTACACTATCAATGAAATTTTTGTTCATGATGATAGTGGAGAATTAAATACTAAAAAAATGTTTTTCCTGTTATTCAATTGATCTATCATTTATACGTGCTGTGAATAATGTCCTTAAGCTTTTCCAATTTCTTTGCCCTTAGCTTAGACTGTGGTCTCACCTACCGCTGCAAACAAAACTCTTCGATCCCTTGGGTCCCAAGATATCTGACCAGAACCTAATAGATTTTGATGTGTTTATCTTTCTGCAATAGTTTGCTAGTTATCAATTGTGTGTTCATGATTGAAGAAGCTTGAACATGAGCTGCCCACTTGTTTTTATCCGTGGAACGAATTCTAATCAAGCCTATAGGTCTGCTTAGAAGGCAAAAGAGTTGAGACATGTTCAGAATATACCGCCCATTCAATACACACAGTTTTTATCTGTCTCCGCCTCTGATACCACATGGTTGATCATATTGCAGAGTGTTTACTACTTCTAAACCAGCTATTTTTTTTTCTGTCTTCCTGTTCATCACCTGATAGCTCTAGAATTCAGGACTTTAGCTAATGTCTATACTCGTTAGTCAATCAGGCACAGATCCATTTGCATGTGTTTCCAATTTCTCTTGTAAAATGTCACTAATTGATCCATGAAAAGTTCAAGAAAAAAATCAACCTAAACTGGTGAATTTGTAATCTTTTCACTCGATTTTGGTGTTTTTTCTTTCTCGAAACAGAATCATCTATTGCCTCATGATGTGCCCTGATCTTCAAATCTCTCAGACACTTTGAAGTTATCAGTTTGCAATTCGTTGACACATTTTTTCACTCTTGATGACTACTGTCTCAGGAAAACAAAAGGTTGGAATGACAATTGGAATAGGTAATTATTTCAAGACTTTTTCTTCCACTTCTCTACAATCTCCTCTGCAATTTGTTGCGACTTTTTGACAGTAAGCTTGCATCGTTGCTCAATGGAATCAATATTTCCAAAATATGCTAGATGCCCTGAAGAAGTGATGAAGTGAGATTGCCGTTAAAAAATACTCTTCATTTTTTTGGGAATGGCTGCATTGGGAGCCGGAATTGGGATCGCCGTTTTTTAATGCTTTCCTTCAGGAAGAAACCAGTGATCAGATTGCTTTTGGCTTTGATAAAGCATAGGAGCGAACATTTCGATCGCGAAATGAAAATTGAGGGGCTTGTCTCTTCGAGAAGATACACCTACAAAGAAATCAAGAGGATGACAAACTCTTTCGAAGAAAAGCTAGGCCAGGGAGGCTATGGCTGCGTGTACAAAGGCAAGCTTCAAGACGGTCAACTTGTGGCGGTGAAGCTTTTGAAGAAATTGAAAGGCGATGCGGAAGAATTTTTCAATGAAGTCATGAGCATAAACCGGACTTCTCATGTCATTGTTGTCAGCCTTTTGGGGTTCCGTTTTGAAGGAAGCAAAAGAGCTTTGGTTTATGAGTTCATGCCCAATGGATCACTCGAAAAGTTCATATTCAACAGGGGTAACACTTTGGAGTTAGATCAACAATTGAGTTGGGACACATTGTACCAGATTTCGCTCGGCATTGCTCGCGGGCTGGAGTACTTGCATAGAGGCTGCAAAGCAAGGATCTTGCACTTTGACATAAAGCCTCACAACATTCTCCTCGACGAAAACTATTGTCCCAAGATTTCCGACTTTGGTCTTGCCAAAATATGCCCAAGAGAAGAGAGCATCGTGTCGATGCCAGGTGCCCGGGGCACCCCTGGATACATTGCTCCGGAGTTGATCATAAGGAATATTGGAGGGGTTTCTCACAAATTAGATGTCTATAGCTATGGTATGATGGTTCTAGAGATGGTCAGCAAGAGGAAAAACATTGAAGTCACCGAAGATCGTACCAGCGAAATATACTTTCCTCATTGGGTCCACCGACGCCTAGAGCTTGGAGAAAATCTTGGGCTGCACGGGATCACAAATGAGGAGGACAAAGGAATCGCTAAGAAGATGATTGTAATAAGCTTATGGTGCATTCAGATTGATCCGAGAGCTCGACCATCTATGACCCAAGTTGTGGAGATGCTAAAAGGAAGTGTTAAGGCCTTGCATATTCCTCCGAAACCAACCTTGTCATCCCCCTCAAGATTGCTCACGACTTGTCTTTGTGAAAGTTCATCTCTGCAAGAGAGTAATGACTTGAATTTAGGTTATTCAATATCAGTTATATGACCGACATAGTTTGTAATAGAGTATTATTAAAAAAAAAAAAACAACCGTGACTATTGAACTGTTGACAAATTTGCGATCAAAGGTCTGAGTTTAATTTCTATAGTATGATGCACACAAAAAAGTGAAAAGTACATTATTTCAAACTATAAGTAGAGTTTGGCATCTATCCAAAAAAGTGAATAACCTCCTTTTGTTTGAGATCTTTCACATGAACTTTTGAATCGGATAGCCCTAATCCATATACTAAGTATAGCTGAGAGATATGTCATTTCATTTAAAGACTTTTTTTTATAGATTATTCTAAATGACTAGTTAAGCAGCAAATGTTACTCTAACGCACCAACTTCCTTTGTAACTAGGATCGATCAATGTCTTTAAAATTCCTTGTTATCTAGGTTTAATTAATGATTCTGCGGTACTTGTTAATGATACATGTTCCTATATAAATTCCTCACAAATCGTTTTGTAGAATTCTCATTCTACATTCTCCATAAAGCAGCTACCTACGTGACTGTAAAGGTATTGACAGATGATCTTGCATTATGAGAAACTGATTTTTCTTCTTTTTTTTTCTTTGATAGAGTGATTGTGCTTATACTTTGTAACTCGACGTGTTCATGTGGCATGATCTCAGGGATATATATTTTCTTCTAAAGTTATAAATTCTAAACCTCATTCCATTATCACATGTTTACTATATGAATTTTTTGTTTTTACTTGTGAATCAAATGTTGACAGATGGGAATTCAAAAGGAGGGAGTGGAGCTAACTATGATAGGAACTTCTAGATTTAGAGCATCCTTAAGTTCGTTGATGAAGTCTCCGTTTTGAAATGGAGATATTGCGTGATGCTCGGACACTAGAAGCGTCAAAAGTTGTGTACAACACTCACTTTAGTGCCAAAAGTTTCATTCGAATTACTTAAGTGCCAACTTTTTTAAAAAAACGCTCATTTCATTGCCAACTCCGACATGTTGGGCTGGAAATCCAACGTGACCTTTTTTTATTAGTTTCTTAAGCTGACGTGACTTGCTGGAGAGTCCAGTCAGCATCCAAACCCTAAAACGACGCCGTTTAGTACCTTTCCCCCAAATTGAAAGAGAACCCCCCAATTTCGAACCCTAACTAGTTATTGAACCCAAATTCAACTGGAATTCCGACGTGACCTTTTTCTATTAGTTTCTTAAGCTAACGTGACTTGCTGGAGAGTCCAGTCAGCATCCAAACCCTAAAACGACGCCGTTTAGTACCTTTCCCCCAAATAAGAACCCTATATTCCCAAATTGAAGAGAACCCCCCAATTTCAAACCATAACCAATTATTGAACCCAAATTCACTCCTTATTTCGAGTCGGCCCCAAAATTACCACCTCAATCTTGCAATCTCTACTACCGTCGTCCCCACGACGTTGCCAAGAACCTTTTTTCCCTCCCTCCGAGCCCTAATTTTGCCTTTTGAGCCCTCATTTACCCTTGGAACCCTAATTTTTCTAGCCAGTTGAGCAAGAGAGAGAAGATGACAAATCTGAGTGAGCGATGGCGAACGACGGTGAGCGACGGCAAGTGACGACGAGCAAGCAAGGAGGAGTTCATAGTGTCGTGCAAGAACATGAACTTGAAGCCCCAGTTTTGATCCGCTTTGTGCGATGTTGTTTTGGCTAGAGGCTAAGCGATGTCGTTTCTTTTCAATGAGCCCTGTAGGCCGGAATCCAACATCGTTTTTGTACTCCACATGGACTTGGTTTTTAATAAAATATGCCACGTCAATTTTTTTTAATTAAAACGGCCACGTAATCAATTTGGCCGAAATATCTCGCCGATGGCACTTAAGTGATTGTTTTTTCTCCGATTTGACACTTAAGTGATTTGGCGGAAATTTCTAGCACTAAAGTGAGCACCATACATAATTTTTGACACTTCTAGTATCCTTCTCCCTTCCTCAGAGTATCTTGCTACCTAAGTCTCGTGGAGGAGCAGTTCCACGTTATTAGCTTAAACAAATATCCAATTTGATTTTCAACCATTACCCACTCTCTTGGTATAGATTTTAAACCTTGAAAAAAATGCCCTTAGAGCTCAAGATGATTCACTTAGTGCAAGGAACCGACCAGGATGGTGGGCTTACTTGGTCCTTTCTCCTTATGAATCCTTCCTCTCATGTAATCACCATAGAATTGACAGTATAAAACTTGCATCATCTGCTGTATTTACTTTGAATGTTCTGCACTATATATTTTCAAATACAATACTGTAATATCTTCTGGGATTCATATCATGGATTACGTATTTTAAGCTTAATTACAGGCATGAGTTTTCGAGTCTACTCAAATGAAGTCGGTTTTGTTGAGAAAACATCCTATATATTTTGAAGTTGACAAAACTATTCACGGTTTGTATCGATCTTACTAAATGCAAGAAACTTTCATGATTCGGGTAATATTCACATTGAAAGGATTATTTTATGACCGAATGATCTTATGAACAAGTCTAGAATTCTATATTGACTCGATGGCATCAAGATCTTATGTCTATAGAATCTACATCATTATCATTGTAAAAGTATCTTGGAAAGAACAGTTGACAATATCCAAGAAGCCAGAAGCAACATACTATGTGAATATCAGCAAAGCTATCAGCAAGGCAATTGGATGAATATCAACGAGGCTACCAAGTGCATATTAGTAGACAATGCTGGAGCAGATTATCATCAGATTGAGTTGAATACTAGCAGAACACCTATTCTACATGCAACGAGATTCCTATCAAGAACTTCAAGATTATCATTTTGAGATACTTAGTCTCATTCTTTATAGCTAGTGATATGACATGAATTCCCACTTAGAAGATCTTTATTGACTATCAATCTTAAAGATTATCTTCACCAAATAATCAATCATGCGAGAAATCTTGGTTGATTGTTAATCATCCGAAAGACAAACACAAAATGAGATTATTCAATAATTATTTGTTCAACATGTCACCAAATTCCCGCAATGTAAATCTTATTTGGATAAATGCCAAGCTCTACTTATAATGAAATTAATGCACTTTTCACTTTTTTTTGTGCATCGTACATTAGAAATTCAACCGAGACATATGATCATAAATTTGTGAAAAGTTCATTTGTGATCAATATGTAAACAATTGTTTTTTTTTTAAGTACTCCATTACAAACTATGCCGGTCTAATATAATTGATATTGAATAATCCCAACTCAAGTCATTGCTCTCTTGCAGAGATGAACTTTCACAAAGGGAAGCCGCGAACGATCTTGAGGGAGATGACAAGGTTGGTCCGGGAGGAATTTGCAAGGCCTCGACACTTCCTTTTAGCATCTCCACAAGATGGGTCATAGAAGGTTGAGCTCTAGGATCGATTTGAGTGCACCATAAGCCTATCACAATCATCTTATTTGCGATTCCTTCGTCCTCCTCATTTGTTATCCCACACAGCCCAAGCTCTTCTTGGAGCTCTAGGCGCTCGTGAACCCAATGAGGGAAGTATACTTTGCTGGTACGATCGACGGTGACTTCAACATTAAGCCTCACAACATTCTCCTCGGTGAAAACTATTGTCCCAAGATTTCTGACTTTGTTCTTGCCAAAATATGCTCAAGAGAAGGGAGCATCGTGTCAATGCTAGGAGCTCAAGGCACAGCTAGATACATTGTTCTGGAGATGATCATAAGGAACATTGGAGGGGTTTCTCATAAATCAAATGCCTATAGCTATGGCATGATGTTTTTGGAGATGGCCGGCAGGAGGAAAAACATAGAAGTCACCGTAGATCATACTGGCGAAATATACTTCCCTCATTGGGTCCATCGACGTTTGGAGCTTTGAGAAGAGCTTGTGCTGCGTTGAATCGCGAATGAGGAGGACGAAGGAATTGCGAAGAAGATGATTGTAATAGGCTTATGGTGCATTCAGATCGATCCGAGAGCTCAACTATCTATGACCCAAGTTGTGGAGATGCTAAAAGGAAGTGTTGTGGCCTTGCAAATTCCTCCAAGACCATCCTTGTCATCTCCCTCAAGATTGCTCGTGGCTTGTCCATGTGAAGGTTCGTCTCTACAAGAGAAGAATGGCTCGAGTTGGGGTTATTCAATATCAATTATATCATACCGGCATAGTTTGTAATAGAGTATTAGGCAAAAAAGAAAAAGAAAAAGAAAAGAAAGAGCAGCTGTACACGTATTAAGGACTAGAGATATTTGCACAAATTTGTAGTGCAAATGTCTATAATAAATTTCTACATGTATGATGCAGAAAAAAAGTGAAAAGTGCATTATTTAATATTATCAGTAGACTTTGTCATTTATCCAAATAGGATTTAGATTGTGCAAAGTTGATGGCATGTTAAACATATTTTATTCAATAACCTCCGTTCATGTGAGTGCAATTCACATGAGCTCTTGAATCGCATAGGCCTGATCTATTTATTAAGTATAGTTGAGAGATATGTCATTTCATTTAAAGATTTTATTATAGATTATTCTAAAGAACTAGTTAGACAACAAATGTTACGACTGTAAACGCACCGACTTGGTGATTAAGTTTGATCAATGTCTTATCAATTCCTTGTTATCCATGCTTAATCAGTGATCTTGAGTTCAGGCCTGGTAATCTCCTTTTAGTGTTTGACGTTAAATGGAACCCTTTGTGGTCGAAGCCAAGTCAAGCCCGGTCGTCTCCTTTCTATTCTGATGTTAAATCGAACCCTTCATGGTCGACTAGCCTAATAATCTCCTTTCAATCCTGATGTTAAATCAAACCCTCTGCAGTTGAAGCCAAGTCAAGCTAGTCATCTCCTTTCAATTTCGATGTTAAACCAAATCGTGGTCGAAGACAGTTTAAGCCTGGTCGTCTCCTTTCAATTCTGACATCAAATCGAACCCTTCAGGGTTGAAGCGAGGTCGAGCTTGGTCGCCTACTTTCAGTGGCGTTAATCACAGGCATTGACGTCGACTTCGAGGCCGCCACTACTTCCCAACACTGGCGGCACGAAAGCCACTTCAAACAACAAAAGTGTAAAGAATCGCAGAGAATTACATCGAGATGATTCGGTCTGAGAGGCTTGAACAAGAAGCACTACATCAAACTATGCAAATAGAGACCTTTTCCAGTTGGACAGGGATATTTTTCAACAGTCTTTGCATATTTTGTGACGTTTGTGAAGACATCCCATGAATGCTACGAAATTCAGTGTTGCGGAGTTTTAGGTGACGCGCCTCCAGAATCGTCCCTACGATGAGATGTTAGATTGTTGCCCCCGCTTTGGTCAGGAAGACGTCTTCCATACTACAAAAGGGGGAGACTCCGTCGAAACTGAATTCATATACATCGGCGTATTTGAGTTACAAAATGCTGTGTGTCTGGTATATAGAGCCCATATATTTATCTATCATGGACGGAGTTGAATGCGTGGAAGAATCTTGCTGGGGAGGACCTTAGAATCAATCATCAAAATGACGAGAGAAACTCATATTATGGCATCGGTCCCAGCGACCTCAAGCAAGAAGAATTCATATATATCTGCAAGAGGAGTAATCACTTTTTCACCTTTCAACTTCATTATTGTAAAAACAACTACATAATGAATATTGAGGATCTCGTTGTCATAGAGGGGAGAAGTACTTTGTACTAGTAGGCTAATGGATGATAAAAAGTGTCTACTTGTTGAACAGCTTTAGAATTAGAGAAGTATACATTTGGTTAGTCAATTTCTCGATCAATCTTTTTTAAGATTTGAACGGTTGTCTCACTTATGCACGTATATCCCTTGATCTAAAGTGAATTTTCGGTGAGAATGATAAGATGAAAGGCCTCGCATGCAGTGAAATGTGTGTGATACTTCATGCTTGTTACAACATGCCTTGGTTCTTCTTGTCTGTTTTCGGGTCGGGCATCAGTCTTGGTCTCCGTTGACCTCGGAAAAGACTCTCTTGCCAAGTCAAGAGCCTCTCAGTAGTGCATTCGATCAAGTCATTCCCAAAGCAACCTTATCCTATCCTTCACATGTAACCTTGTTGTTTGCTCAAACATCGACCCCCTTTCCCTGCGTCTTTCCTTTGGATGAGTCTTACCATGTCTCGTTCTCCTCTTTCCTTAGTTTTCATCATCTCCCTCCAGATTCACTTCCTGGTTCCAGCTTCCGGCGACTTCCTGCAGTACCAAGAGTGCGCTCCTTTTGATTGCGGAGATCAACAAATCAGCTATCCTTTGAGGCATAATAAGCAACAAAGATACTGTGGGTATCCAGGCTTCGAGCTCGGCTATGACGGAGATAACCTGACCCTGTCCATGGTGTCCCAGGAATATCGGGTGATCCACATTAATAGGAGCACGCAGATCCTTGTGGTAGTGAGGATGGATTTATTGGAAGATTTATGTCTTCAAACATATGTTAACACCACTTTAAACTTCAGTCTCTTCAACTACGCTTTCACTGACCTCAATTCTGCCTTATTCTACAATTGCAACTCCTCGTCAACCCCTCGACCTTATCGATTCTCTTGTCCCACATCTGGAGATGGCTACTTTGCTCCCAATGTGGACCTTGCAAACCCACTACCCAAGCTATGCAACTTCAGTGTCCTTGTCCCGACTTCAAGTGAAGCTCAACCTCTAACACCACCACCTCCGGAGGGTGGCAGCCACAGTGCTACTATTAGTGAGGTCCCGAGCAAAGGCTTTGAGATCACCTGGATTGCCGACACATCGCAGTGCGAAAATTGCAATAAATCGGGGGGAAGATGCGGGTATGACTGGACAAGGCAAGAATTTAATTGTTTTTGCCCTGATGGAGCCTATTTTACGAGCTGCCCGCCAGTACCGGGAAGCATCCCTTCGGGTTTGTATGCTTATTCTCACCTAATATGTGGTTTTCATTTAGCTAAAGTTGTTGAATGAGAGGGATTGCTGGGCATACCCTTCCCTTCGCTTGTTAATTGGAAAACGAATGGCTCATGCCCCTAAAGTCTAACAATCTCGTTTTTCTGGGCATACACTTCCTCTTATGAAGTGCAGCCATCCTCGTGATGACATACATGATCATGTTACAGTATAGACTCCAAGTTTTAAAACTTTATCATCCCATCCTCTGCAACCTTCCTTGCCTTAATTGTTGGATCATTAGGTCAGTATTTGCAACTCACAAGATCCAATAGTTTAAATACATTGAGGGGAGAATGACACAAATGGTCTTCAAACTTTGGTCTAATGTGCAATATCATCCCGAAACTTTTAATTTTGTTCAATGTTATCTTTGAACCGTTAGTAGATGTTCAATCTAGTCCCTAAACTATATGAAAATGTTCAATGCCATCCTTTCATTAATTCAAATTAATGTAATCTGCTGACGTGGCTTCCAATATGTTAAGCTTGAATAGTGGACCAAAAAAAAAAAGTTACACATTGATTGTCTAAGTAAGATGTTCATCTCATGATGTGCCCTGATCTTTATATCTCTTAGACACTTTGAAATCATCTGTTTGCAATTCGGTTGACACATTTTTCACTTTCGATGACTATTGTCTCAGGAAAACGAATCGTTGGACTGAAAATCGGAATAGGTAATTATTTCAGGACTCTCTCTTCCACTTCTCTATATTTTCCTCTGCGATTAGTCCCAATTTTTTGACAGTAAGCTTGCACATTTGCTCAATGGAATCAATGTTTCCAATATAGTCTTAGAAGCCTTGATAAAGTAATGAAGTGAGATTGCTGTCAAAAAATATTCTTCGTTTTTTAGGAATGGCTGCATCAGGAGCCGGAATTGTGGTTACCCTTATCTTATTGCTTCCCTTCTGGAAGAAACCAATGATTAGAATAATTATGGCTTTGATAAAGCAGAGGAGCAAAGACTTCGATGGCAAAATGAAAATTAAGGGACTTGTCTCTTTGAGAAGATACACCTACAAAGACATCAAGACGATGACTAACTCTTTTAAAGAAAAGTTAAGCCAGGGAGGCTATGGCTCCGTGTACAAAGGCAAGCTTCGAGACGGTCAACTTGTGGCCTTGAAGCTGCTAAAGAATCTGAAAGGCGATGCAGAAGAATTTTTCAATGAAGTTGCGAGCATAAGCAAGACTTCTCATGTCAATGTTGTCAGCCTCTTGGGGTTCTGTTTTGAAGGAAGCAAAAGAGCTTTGGTTTATGAGTTTATGTCCAATGGATCCCTCGAAAAATTCATATTCAACAGGAGTAATACTACGGAGGCAGATCAACAATTGAGTTGGGACACATTGTACCAGATTTCACTCAGCATTGCTCACGGGCTAGAGTACTTGCATAAAGGTTGCAACGCGAGGATCTTGCACTTTGACATAAAGCCTCACAACATTCTCCTCGACGAAAACTATTGTCCCAAGATTTCCGACTTTGGTCTTGCCAAAATATGCCCAAGAGAAGAGAGCATCGTGTCAATGCTAGGTGCTCGGGGCACCATCGGATATATTGCTCCAGAGTTGATAATAAGGAACATCGGAGGGGTTTCTCACAAATCAGATGTCTATAGCTACGGTATGATGGTTCTGGAGATGGTCAGTAAGAGGAGAAATATTGAAGTCACAGTAGATCAAACCAGCGAAACATACTTCCCTCATTGGGTCCACCGACGCCTGGAGCTTCGAGAAGAGCTTGGGCTGCATGGGATCACAAATGAGAAGGACAAAGAAACCGCGACAAAGATGATTGTAATAGGCTTATGGTGCATTCAAATCGATCCAAGAGCTCGACCATGTATGACCCAAGTTGTGGAGATGCTAAAAGGAAGTTTTGACGCCTTGCAAATTCCTCCCAAACCCATTTTGTCATCACCCTCGCAATCACTCGCAGCTTGTCCATGTGAAAGTTCGTCTATGCAAAAGAGTAATGACTCGAGTTGAGGTTATTCAGTATCAATTTCGACATAGTTTGTAACATACTATTCGAAAAAAAAACTACAAAATCAACTATTATTGAGATGTTCATATATTTGTGATCAAATGTCTAGGTTGAATTTCTACAAGCATGATGAAAAAAAAGAAGAAGAAGTGAAAAGTGCATTGTTGACACATAAATTTTCTAATATGGGTCTCTATTGCATTTTATCAAAGTTAGGGATCTAATTTATAACATAAATTGACCCCCTAACCCAAAAAATTGACCCTGTATCATTTAGTATTCACATTGCTTGTTACATCTCATCACGGTTAGGGACATTGTGATTTTTGAACTTTCACTACTGCATGGGTAATCCAATTCATAGACAATAACTAAAATAAATATAATAATTTAAATAAATATAAAAAATTAGATTAAATTATGCAATAAGAAAAGGGAAACAAGGCTCGCGGATCATTTTGTATTTCACAAACACATTAACTTTGCCATACCAATTAACCGAGAAGAACGGGCCTCATTCTGAAGCCCATCTATTGGGTTCGCGCCCGGCCCGCTCGAATGGGCCTTAATTTCAGCCCATGAAGAATTAGGAGGGACAAGTGGAAACACTGAAAAGATTGGAGGGCTGAAGAGGAAGCATGCGTTAAAGTTAACGGCCTCGTGCATGCAAGGGAGGAGGCACCCACTTTGCCCTAATCGTTTTCAGAACATTTGGCTTAACGGCTTGAACATTTGGCCGCACAAGCGTGCAAAGTGCTAAGTGCGCCTAATAATCGCGCACCCGGGTATTGTGTGGACTAGCACACACCCCATTGTCTTCACTCTAAGGAGTAAGAAGACACTCACAGTTATAAAATGGCCCACTTACCCAAAACTTTCCTATGCGGGACAAAGAAAAAAGCATTGTTTTGTTTGTTTTACAAACAAACATCCAACATCCGTTCCTCCTCTCGCTCACACGGTCCTCCAGTAGGCCCAAGGCGTTAAGAATCTCACGACTGAGGCTTCACGATGATGATGGGGATCGATTTCGGATGAACTAGTTTTGGGAGCCGAGATGAAGCGACGTCTTCAAATCCATAGAAGCAAAATGAAAATGAGGGTTAAGAGTCGAATCCTCTAGTTAAGAAGGTTCTGGCTCTCAGCACTCTGGAAGAATTACCGTTGTTCCGATGTCAATCCTCAGGCGAGACTCGTCGACCTTCAGAGCACTAACGTCGTCCATTGTTCTGACAAAAAAAAAATGTCCTCCATCATGCTCACCTACGCATTCACTTCTGTTTCCCTGCTGATGATCCACTACAAAAGGATGGGTTTTGCAGCGAGAATTTGCCGATGGTCTTCCATCGTTGCCATTGCTGTAGTTTTAGTGTTGTTCTGTCCAGCTCGGCTTTCCATCAATGGTGAGGCACAAATTCCGGCAAGTTCCTAAGAGGCGACAACGGTATGACACCGTTCCCCCGAGAGTTTGATCCTGGGTAAAAGAAAATTGTATTTTTTTTTAACTTACTTGTACTGAATGACAAAGTTATGGCAAATGGCGTGGATTGATCGAATGAATGCTGCGTTTTTCTTCTGAAACAGGAACCCGACCCGGACAAACACGACCCGACTCGACAAGATTGTTGAGATTATGTTTTTGTTCGGGTCGGGTCAGTTCGGGTCAAGCACACATGTGTAGTGTTTCGGGTCGGATCGGGTATTCTGAAAACCCGTCTTGACCCGACCCATTGACACCCCTATGGGCTGCCGCGTGTACAAATTGTAAGATGGGGAATACTAGTCCAAGTCCTCCTAAGTCAAGTTTACAATTAGCCATCAGCTCAAGCTACTCGGCTTGGTTTCCACGTGCCTCCTCCTCCTCCTCCTCCTTCCTTTTTGGCTTTTGCCTTGGGCGCCTAAGTCTTGGTCTTCGGATGATTTAAGACAAAGAGGTTCTCATTTTAGTGCATCGGGGGTCAAGTCATTCCCCAAAAGCAGCATTGTTCTTATCCCTCTGCATCCTCTTCCTTTTTACATGTACCCTCCTACCTTGTTTTGCTCCAAACACCATCTCCCTTTGGATGGATCTTACCATGTCGTGTTCCTCTCTCTCCTTGCTCTTCCTCATCTCCCTCCATATTTACTTCCTGGTGCCAGCTTCCGGCTACTTCCAGCCGTTCCTAGATTGCGATCCTTTTCCTTGCGGAGATCAACAAATCAGCTATCCTTTCTGGCATAAAGAGCAAGAAAGTCACTGTGGGTATCCAGGCTACGAGCTCGGCTGTGACAGGGATAACCTGATCCTGTCTATGATGTCCGAGGAATATCGTGTGATCCGCATGAATTTGAGCACGCAGATCCTTGAGGTGGCGAGGACGGATTTATGGGAAGATATATGTCTTCAAACATATAAAGATACCACTTTAGACTTGAATCTCTTCAACTACACTTCCAATGACCTCAATTTCACCGTACTCTACTATTGCGACTTGTGGAAGACGACTCCACCTTATCAGTTTTCTTGCCCCGAGTCTCAAAATGGCCACTTTTTTCTCAGTGTGGACCTTGCAAAGCTAATACCCAAGCCATGCAGTTCGCTTGTTCATGTCCCGATTTCAAGAAGCGCAGCTCGTGATCTACCACCACCTTTCGCGGGAGGGGATGATGCTGATGCCATTAGTGAGGTCCTGAAGAAGGGCTTTGAGATCACCTGGAATGCCAACACATCGCTGTGTGAAAATTGCACCAAATCGGGGGGAAGATGCGGGTATAATATAACAAGGCAAGAATTCAATTGTTTTTGCCCTGATGGAGCCTATTTTACGACCTGCGACGAACTGCCAATACCGGAAAGCGTCTCTTCGGGTATGTATGCTTACTCTCACCTAATATTCGGTTTTAAATTAGCTGAAGTTGTTCGATGAGAGGGATCGCTGGGCGTACCCTTCCCTCAAACGAAGTGCAGTCATCCTCGCTATGACATACATGATCGAGTTACAATTTAGACTCCCGAGTTCTAAAAACTCTATCGTCCCATTCTCCGCAACCTTCCTTGCCTTAATTGCTCGATCATTAGGACGGTATCTGCGGCTGACTAGATCCGACATTGTAAATACAATGAGCGAAGATGCTTCAAGTTTATCGAAAAATTTCACATCATGGACAATTAATTTTAATTGGAATGCGTTAGCCGATTAGTCAATCAACCTATAATTCAGGTTTGACTAGTTCTTTACTTCTCTTGACATGAAATCTTGACCCCTCAAATGGGCTAGACTTTTTCATACGTGGGAACCTGGAGAAATTTTCACTCTGCAATTCAACTACATGGGAAGAAATCCGGAGGAAATTGCTTTGCATGTGTCCTGGCTACTCCTTCCTCATCACCTTCACGAAATGTCAGAAGACTGAAACCGGTCTCGGTCAAAGTCAGCGGTCAGAAGAGTCTTTTGATATTGTAACCACATCCATCTCTTTCACACATGAGTCTTCGGAGAAGCTGAATTAAAAACGAATTTCTCCATCCTCAGCTTGCCCCTCTGAACTCTAAACCCCCATTCCACATGATATTCTCCACCCATGAGAGCTTGAACTTACTCAAATGGGTGACGCAGCCACTCTCCTTCTCTCCTCCCCTTCGCACTCCATCCTTGTTTTCGTCCTCGTCGTCCCCATCCCACGAGTTCTTTTGTGCGAGGGAGACGACGATGTCCACTATACCGAATGCCGCCACTCTTTTAGCTGCGGAACCGTCGAAAATTTAACTTAGCCTTTCTGGGGAGACGGTCGACCCCAATTTTGTGGACTTGAAGGATCCAAGGTCGAGTGCTCTGAGGACAAGTACCCTATTCTTGAGTACCTAATGCAAAGGTATCGAGTCCTCAAGATTGATCAGCATCTTCATACGATCACGACTGCGAGGATGGATCTGATGGATGGTATGTGCTTGCGCGAGTTTGTGAATACTAGCATAATGGAGTCCACTCTCTTCCATATGAACACAGCCGTTAAGAGCCTCAGCATCTTCTACGGATGTTTGGCTGCGTTGAAGAATGTTAGAAAGTCCAACCCAAAAGTTTAAGTTATTAAATGGAGGGAGACCACATGAATATAAAAAGCAATCGATGTGGGATAATACTTCAATACCACACTCACGTGCAAGCTGGATTACGAGTAGCACGTGAAATTTTGATATCGAGCATTCACATGGAATTTTTACTAAGCACATTTGCGAAAGGGATAGCATTGGCTCTGATACCATGTTAGAAAGTCCAACCCAAAAGCTTAAGCTATTAGATGGAGGGAGACCACATGAATATAAAGAGCAATCGATGTGGGATAATACTTCAACAAAGAACATAAGCATCGAGTGCTTCTACGACGACTCCAGGGAGTCAGCTTTCTTCATGGATGACATTTTCTGCCGCCTCCTTCCGGTCCAAATGAATCTCCAAAACTTCATGTGTGGAGCTAATTGTCGCCAATTGGTCCTTTTCTTCGTCTTGACCAACTTAGTCTATCAGGCTCTGTCGGATGATGTGCAATACAAGGCCAAAATGAATAATTGAGGCTTATAGATCATGTTCAAATGAATCTCCAAAAGATGTCTGCGCTTTTTGAAAGTTTTAAACTTAATTGCACTCTCATAATAAGTTTTAGGACTTAATTGTACTTTTTAAAAATTTTAAGACTCAATTGCACTTTGGTGATAAATTTTAGGACTACCAATGCACACTTGTGACTCACAAGTGTACTAATTTGCGGTTTTTTTTTGTATTAATCCAAAAATTTGTCAAAAGTGTATCGATTTTGGGTTTTTGATGGTCAAAAAATTAGTTTGGGTAAATTTGTCATAAGTATATTAGTTTGGGGTTTTTGATAGTCAAAAAATTAGTTTGGGGTAAATTTGTTACAAGTGTACCAATTAGAGGTTTTTTGTGGTATTAAGTATTAACCCTTTTTATTCATTTGCCTACATATATGGCGACGTTTTTAAGTACATCCCACGTGCGTCACGCGTGTCGTGGAGTTTCAGGCGCACGCCTCAAGTATCATCTAATCACTGCGAGTCTGTGATAGGAAGTTGAGAGTGTTGTAATCATTTTCAGTAGGGGCACGTTTCTACAATCTCCGTTAAGAAAAGAAAAATAAAATGAACAAAAAACGGGGTTGTTTCACTCATGTTGGATCGTCATCCGTGACATATAGGACGACCAATGATTGCTAGATCATCACGTCTGCAATTTCATATGAGACTCGATCCGGAGGACTTGATTGTGTTTTCACTCAAAGGTTTATGACAACATTAATTCATTTGAAATGTTTGGGACTAATTTCAATTCCACACAATAAATTTAGCACTAAAATTGCAATTTTTCCGTGTTTACACCAACCCGAACCGCTCCTTGAAGCTTAAACGAAGTTTCAATCACCCTTAGTGGCTTTTGTATGATACTTCTTGTATCGAACAATTGTTGCAACATACTTTTAAGATCAGTAATTCCTGAACATGAAATATCTTACTATCATAATGGACCGATCATGTCAGCGATTTTCGACAACAATTAGTTGGAAAGACTACATTATAATATTTTGTAAAGGTTTAGAATTATATTGACAAATTTGAAAAGTTTAGCACGAAAATGGTATTCGTACGATATGTTTAGAACTGAGTTTGTAATTTTCCCTAAGATTTGTATAACGGGAGGTTTGGCTCGGAAGTTTCATGGTTATTTCCTAATGATTTGGTGGATCATCAATGTCAACATTTCAAAACGTGTGCGAGTCGTTCAAACAAATTGTAATTGAGAGGTCCCGTTGACTAGGAAGTTTCATGGTTTGTTCCTCAAGACTTACCGGGGCAAATTTTCCGCGTGGGCCATTGATGCATCATCATTGGGTGTTTGAATAATGCAAGCACGGAACCACTTTCTGCCTCGCTTAGCATTTGCTTCAAAGTTGATGAACTAGCACAAGACAGTGATAGGAGTTAGGACCAATTCAAACGAACTCCGGTTGATTTTTCTGCAAATACTTTCCACACCCTCTCCTACCTTTTTCTCCTATGCTCTGCAATCCTCTGCCTCCTTCAGTCCAAATGAATCTCCAAAACTTCATGCGTGGAGCTAATCGTCACCAATTGGTCCTTGTCACCATCTTAGTCAACTTAGGCCCCGTTTGGTTCAGCTTTGGGAAGGGGCTTTCGGCCTCGAAAGCCCCTTCCCAAAATGCTGAACTGTTTGGTTCGGCTTTCCGAGTTCGGAAAGCCGAAAGCCAGCATTTGGAATGCCGTTGGAATGCTGAAAGCCCAAAGCTGGTCCGGACCAGCTTTGGGCTTTCAGTATTTGTGGAATGCCGAAGCCTATTTTTCCTTCCCAAATTGCCCTCACTCAAATTTCAATTTTCCGGTTTTGCCCTGTTACTGTTCATCTTCTTCACAGTGAAGGTGGCCGGCGAGGGTGGCCGGCGAACGGCCGGCGAGGGCGGATTTGGCCGGCGACGGGCCGGCAAGGTCGCCTGACCCAGGCGACGGCCGCCTGGGGTCGGGCGACCGCCCCAGCGCCGTCGCCTGGAGTCGTGCGACCCGTGCGACGGCTGCGCTCGAGGTCGCGCGACCTGTGCGACCGCCGCCCGGGTCGCGCGACTCCAGCCCGATCGCCGACCCGGGCGACGGCGCCGGGCGGTCGCCGACCCCCAGTGGCAACCTCGCCGGCCCTTCGCCGGCCAGATCCGCCCTCGCTGGCCCTTCGCCGGCCAGATCCGCCCTCGCCGGCCCTTCGTCGGCCACCCTCGCCGGCCACCCTCACGGTGAAGAAGATGAACAGTAATAGGGGCAAAACCGGAATATTAAGAATAAAAATTGTTAAAGCCCTTTGCAAAAAAAAATTTACCAAACACTACTTAGGCCAAAGTAGCTTCACAAATTTTTTTTGACCAAACACCACTTACATTTCCCCAAGTGGCTTTCACCTAAAGCTATTTGTATTCTCCCAAATTGCATTTAAAAAGCCGAACCAAACGGGCCCTTAATCTATCAGGCTCTATCGGATGGTGCCCAATACGAGGCCTGCGCACCTCGGAACTGCGGATATGGCCCGGACATCAGCTACCCTTTTTGGATTTCTGGCTTGCAGGAGTCCTATTGTGGCTATCCGAATTTCGAGATTACCTGCAAAGGGATGTACCCTGTCCTGAATTTCTCGGACAGTGAGTTCATCATCAAGGATATCTTCTATGCGAACCAGTCCATCCTCCTGGTTAATGCCCTCGTGTACGAGGACTCCTGTGGTGCTCCGCCTCGTAATATCAGCCTCAAAAGGACGCCTTTCAATCTAAGTTCCGCAAATGACGATTTCTTCTTCTACTATAATTGCACCTCAAAGCCGCCAGGTTTTACATATCCAGTGGACTGTGCTAGCGACTCCACCCACTATTCTTTTGCTCTTTTCCCCGATAAAGCAGCGCAAGAAACCTATTTGTATTCTGCCATCAGCTCCTGCGATTCTCCAGTTAGTTTACCTGTTGATGTTAATGCAAATCTCACTAGCTTGGCGTCTATGAATTACACTGAGATTTTGGAGATGGGGTTCCTTTTGAACTGGACTGCAATTAATTGAAGCAAGTGTGAGGAAAGTGGGGGACGGTGTGGATTCGAGAATGACAATTTCGTTTGCTTTTGCCAAGACGGCCATCATTCTCAAACCTGCAATAATGGTAAGTGCATGAGGGAGTCAAATTTTCTGTTATTGCTTGATCATTCTTTTATACGTCCAGAGCGATGATCTGGATTAAAACATCACTGCTGTCTTCGCTGCCTTAATTATCTGATCATGAGGTTGGGGTCTGCGTCCCACAACATCTATTGGTTTTAACGTATCGAGTGAAGATGCAACGAATTCACAGTAGAGTTTGCAAATGTTGGACTAAAACAAACAAACAAAAGTGGTCCTAAAATCTGATCAAGTGTGCAGTAGAAGTATATATTAATCGATAGATTTGAACTGTTCATAGAATTAGATCTTTAACACTATAAGTAATAGAGTTTTTACTCTAATGGGTGTGGATCCAAGCATGAGCCATATGTGCTTCAATACGACATATATGCACGATCTATTGCAATTTAGGAAGCACACTTTTACTAGTTTATTGTCCTAGCAGGGAAAAAAGCTATCATAAAGTAATCCGTCAAACTGTGCTTTTCGTTTAGTATTTTCTATAAAGATTCACAACTTAGAAGCCTCGATAAAGTGATGAAGTGAGATTGCTGTTCAGAAATACTCGTGTTCTTTTTAGGAATAGCTGCATCCGGAGGAGTTGGAATTGGGATCGTCCTTATTTTAATGCTTTCCTTCAGGAAGAAACCAATTATCAGAAAAATTATGGCTTTGATAAATCTGAGGACCTAATAGAATTTGATGTTTCTATCTTTCTGCAACAGTTTGCTAGTTATCAATTGGGTGTTCATGATTGAAGAAGCTTGAACATGAGCAGCCCACTTGATTTTTTTCATTGGAACGACTTCTAATCAAGCCTATGGGTCCGCTTAGAAGCCAAAGGAGTTGAGACATGTCCGGAGTATACTGCCCATTCAATACGCAGAAAGTTTTATGTGTCTCCACCTCTGATACCACATAGTTGATCATTCTGCAGAGTGTTTGCTACTTCTAAACCAGCTATTTTTTTTTCTGTCTTCCTGTTCATCCCCTGATAGCTCTAGAATTCAGGCCTTTAGCTAATGTCTATACTTGTTAGTCAATCAGGCACAGATCCATTTGCATGTGTATGCAATTTCTCTGGTAAGATGTCACTAATTGATCCAAGAAAGTTCAAGAAAAAAATCAAGCCAAACTGGTGAATTTGTAATCTTTTCACTCGATCGTGGTGTTTTTTCTTTCTTGAAACTGAACAATCTATTACCTCATGATGTGCCCGGACTTTATATATCTCAGACACTTTGAAGTTATCAGTTTGCAATTCGTTGACACATTTTCCATTCTTGATGACTACTGTCTCAGGAAAACAAAATATTGGACTGAAAATCGGAATAGGTAATTATTTCAAGACTTTCTCTTCCACTTCTCTACATTCTCCTCTGCAATTCGTTCCAATTTTTTTGGCAGTAAGCTTCCCTCATTGCTCAGTGGAATCAATATTTCTGAAATATTCTAGAAGCCTTGAAGAAGTAAGATTGCTGTTAAAAACATATTCTTCATTTTTTTAGGAATGGCTGCAGCAGGAGCTGGAATTGGGATTGCCCTTATTTTAATGCTTTCCTTCAGGAAGAAGCCAGTGATCAGAATGATTATGGCTTTGATTAAGCATAGGAGCGAACATTTCGATGGCGAAATGAAAATTGAGGGACTCGTCTCTTCGAGAAGATACACCTACAAAGACATCAAGAGGATGACTAACTCTTTTGAAGAAAAGCTCGGCCAGGGAGGCTATGGCTGCGTGTACAAAGGCAAGGTTCAAGATGGTCAACTTGTGGCGGTGAAGCTTCTGAAGAAACTGAAAGGCGATGCCAAAGAATTTTTCAATGAAGTCGCGAGCATAAGCAGGACTTCTCATGTCAATGTTGTAAGCCTCCTGGGGTTCTGTTTTGAAGGAAGCAAAAGAGCTTTGGTTTATGAGTTCATGCCCAATGGATCGCTTGAAAAATTTATATTCAATAGGAGTAACACTTCGGAGGTAGATCAACAATTGAGTTGGGACATATTGTACCAGATTTCGCTCGGCATTGCTCACGGGCTAGAGTACTTGCATAGAGGTTGCAAAACGAGGATTTTGCACTTTGACATAAAGCCCCACAACATTCTCCTCGACGAAAACTATTGTCCCAAGATTTCCGATTTTGGTCTTGCCAAAATATGTCCAAGACAAGAGAGCATCGTGTCGATGTTAGGTGCCCGGGGCACCCCTGGATACATTGCTCCGGAGTTGATCATAAGGAATATCGGAGGGGTTTCTCATAAATCAGATGTCTATAGTTATGGTATGATGGTTCTAGAGATGGTCAGCAGGAGGAAAAACATTGAAGTCACTGTGGATCATACGAGCGAAATATACTACCCTCATTGGGTCCACCGACGACTAGAGCTCGGAGAAGAGCTTGGGCTGCATGGGATCACAAATGAGGAGGACAAAGGAATCGCGAAGAAGATGATTGTAATAAGCTTATGGTGCATTCAGATTGATCCAAGAGCTCGACCATCTATGACCCAAGTTGTGGAGATGCTAAAAGGAAGTGTTGAGGCCTTGCAAATTCCTCCCAAACCGACCCTATCATCTCCCTCAAGATCACTCGCGGCTTGTCCATGTGAAAGTTCGTCTTTGCAAGAGAGTAATGACTTGAATTTGGGTTTTTCAATATCAATTATATCGGAGCGACATAGTTTGTAATAGAGTATTTTTTTAAAAAACAATTGTTAACATGACTATTGAACTTTCGAAAAATTTGCGATCAAATCTCTAGGTTTAATTTCTATTGCATGATAAACACAAAAAAGTGAAAAGTGAATTTTTTTCATACTATAAGTAGAGTTTGGCGTTTATCCAAATAGGGTTTAGATTGTGCAAAATTGATAACATGTTAAGCAAATGTATTGAATAGCCTCCTTGTTTTTGAGATCTTTCATATGAACTCTTGCATTGGATAGGCCTAATCCATATTTTAAGTATAGCCAAGAGATATGTCATTTCATTTAAAGACTTTATATAGATTATTCTCGACGGCCAGTTATGCAGCAAATGTTACTCTAACGCATCGACTTCCTTTGTAACTAAGATTGATCAATGCCTTTAAAATTCCTTGTTATCTAGGTTTAATCAGTGATTCTGAGGCACTCGTTCACGATACATGTTCCTATAAAAATTCCTCACAAATCGTTTTGTAGAATTCTCATTCTACATTCTCCATAAAGTAGCTACCTACCTGACTATAAAGGTATTGACAGATGATCCTGCATTATGAGAAGCTCATTTTTCTTTTGTTTGATAGAGTGATTGTGCTTATGCTTTGGGACTCAAAGTGTTCATGTGGCATGATCTCAGGGATATATATGTGTTCTTCTAAAGTTAGAAATTCTAACCTCATTCCCTTATCACATGTTTACTATATGAATTTTTGTTTTACTTGTGAATCAAATGTTGACAGATGGGAATTCAAAAGGAGAGGAGTGGAGCTAACTATGATAGGAACTTCTAGGTTTAGAGCATCCTTAAGTTCGTTGATGAAGTCTCTGTTTTGAAAAGAGGATGTTGCGTGATGCTCTCATTACTCGGAGTATCCTGCTACCTAAGTCTCGTGGAGGAGCAGTTCCCCATTATCAGCTTAAACAAATATCCAATTTGACTTCAACCGTCACCCACTCGCTTGGTATAGATTTTAAACCTCGAAAAAAATGCCCTTAGAGCTCAAGATGATTCACTTTGTGCAAGCAACCGATCAGGCTGGTGGGTTTACTTGGTCCTTTTCTCCTTATGAATCCTTCATCTCATGTAATCACCGTAGGATTGACATTTTAAAACTTGCATCATCCGCTGTATTTACATCGAATGTTCTGCACTATGTTGCCAAATACAATACTGTAATATCTTCTGTGATTCATATCCTGGATTACGTATTTTAATCTTGATTACAGGCGTGAGTTTTCGAGTTTACTAGAATGAAGTCGGTTTCGCCATCGCAGGAAGGAATATGGGATGCTACATGTGTATGGAAATGTGAAAGACTCAGAGGACAGTAGATGGGCTGAGTACGATGCATGGAATTGCCAGATCTAAGGTAAGAATTTGCACAATTCATCACAAATGTCCTAAAACAGGGGAAAAATCACTTGGATGTAGGCTCCATTTGTTTAGCGAAAAATAAATATTTTAGAAAATATTTTTCTAAAAATGATTGCATATAGCGCTTATAAAAATGAATGAACTAAAATTATTTTCATCGTCAACGGAAATTTTTAGATATAAATTGTGATTGATATTGAATGTATTTTTTATTGACTAATTATTTCAAGTAATAGAGGCCTTTATGTTTAAAAAAATATTTTCTAAATCATTCATTTTCTATAAAATAAATGGAGTAGAGTAGAGACTAACATCGTTGTAGTCGTTGGTTCTTCGCTTGATGCATTATACAAAGGCATGGATGGCAAATCGAAGGAAGCAGCCCCATATGTTAGACGGCATTTCCTTGATAATAAGGGAAGACGTCCCCCCACTCAAAACAGGGTTAACACCCTAACATCTCTTCGCAGCGACGATTCTTGAGCCTCTTCACCTAAAACTCCCTCGACACTGAATTTTATGACTGGCACGTGGGATGTCTTAAAAAATGCCATCAAATATGGTGTTGAGAGCGTGCAGGAGAAACCCGATACCTTTTGTCTGGGAAGATCGCCAATAGGTAGCCTAAGTCTGGCCCATCAACATATCTAGTTGAATCCACCTTCGATGAATAATTTATGTTAATGAGTTATGGGCTAATTAGAATAGATATATTAACTGCTCTACACCATATCAATTTTTCGACACGTGTGAAGTCAGTGTTAGTGTTATGTCTGCTTTCCCTTGATTTAGGTATATTCTTCTGCATCAAGATATCTCATATATCAACTTGAATAGATTGGGGGCTCATCAACTCAGTGTTAGGTCTACTCTCCCTAATTCAAGTATTGTTTTGCATCAAGATGTCTTGTATCAACTTGAATAGATTGGGGGTTCATCAATCTACCATTAGAAGTCTGATACCTTCACTCGAGAAGATCGACAAAAGGAAGCTAAGTTCGAGGATGTTAACATATCCAGTTGGATCTACCTTCACTTAAAAGTTTAAGCCAATGAGTTATGGGCCAACCATGATATATTAACTGCTCTTCACCACACCAATTTTTCGATGTGAAACTTATTTAACACAACTCACATGTGCATCTCAATATATGGATAAACTCGTCCGACTAGAAAAAAAGTCTCTTTGCTTAGTTTAAATATAGCGGTTCTTGTTCAAGCTTCTTAGGCCGAATTATCTCCATGTGCTTCGGTGCGATTATTTACGCGTGCTGGCGGTGTTGGGAAGCAATGGCGACCTCGAAGTCGACATTAGCGCCGCGTTGATGCGACGGTCCTACATTGTAGGGGACAAAAACATACACAGATGTATGCCAGATGTTCGGGCAGCATAACCTCTCCCTTGTTTCACCCTGTTAAATTGAAACGCTCAAGTATATAGCAGTTGAAATCTTGATGCACGTACACCGAAAGTCGTGTCTTGTGGTGTTCTCTGGTGACAAAAATACACAGATCACAGATGCATGCCAGGTTTTCGAGCAGCATAATCTTTCCCTTATTACACCCTGTTGAACTTAAACGCTTGATGCGCATACACCAAAAGTCGAGTCTTCTAAGAGGAGAAAAGACTTTACAGTCTCTGATTACCGAGGAAAACGGTGGATTATATTGACTCGGATTCTCAATTTATTGAAAAATCTTGTGAAGGTGCAATCTGGTTTATGAGCTATGAGCGATTTTAGGATCCTGTTTAGAAAAGTCCTATAGGAATTGAGATGTGTTTGAAATATAGCCTTTTCTCCCCAATGGTTCGAGATTAAATTGGCCAGTACCTTACCTGATCCCGACTAGCTAATTTCCTAAATTACAATTATTCTTCTAAAATAGACATTATAGTAATATAATATCTACCATTATCTTATGATATCTATTTGTTTATAATTTTTACAAAAAAAAAAGTTTGGTTTTAGGTTGTCACATATTTAGTCAAGACGGGTCTGAAGCTCTATTAAAAAGATCGTCTTGGGTTAAGGATGGGGACGAGTTATATCAGGGAACAATCGAGTATTAGCCAAGTCAGTGGTCTCAAGCTTGTCGCAAAACTCCGGAAGTGCATAAAATCTTAAACCTATTGCACTTTGGCCAATTAAGTCTTAAACTTTTCAATTTTGCCAATTGACTTTTAATCATTTAGACAATTTGCCAATTGAATCTATCCAGCCAATTTTGGCTGAAAATCACTAATGTGGATGGCAATCGTATTACGTGGCATCGTCAGCGCTGATGTGGATAATTTTTGTATTTTGGATTTTGTATTTTTCTTTTCCTTTTTTTCTTTGCCTAAGTGCTGGCGAGGGTCACTGGCGACACTCACCGGCCATGAAGGCCTTGCCCAAGGTCATCGCGGCCTTGCTTGTCGTGAGCGAGGATTGCCTGGCTCGCAGTCGACGGGGCTATGAAGGTCGCCCAAGGCCTTTGCAACGCCGCCGGTAGTGGCTGAGGTGGCCCTCACCTAGTATGGACAAGGCCTTTGTGGCTGGCGAGGGTTGCCGGTGACCCTTGTTGGCATAGAAAAAAAAAGCAAAGAAAAAATGGAAAAGAAAAAGAAAAAGAAAACATAATAAAAATTCAAAAAAATCACAAAAATTGTTCATGTTAACGCCAGATAGACTCAATTGACAAACCGTCAAAAGGTTTATGATTCAATTGGTAAAATTGAAAGGTTTAGGACTGAATTGGCCAAATTGTGATAGGTTTAGGACTTTTTGGACAATTTTCCCCGCAAAAACCACCTGTGGCGTGCTTGCTACTAAAAATGCCTTTCTTGTCTCTTGATTTCTCAGCAGCAATGCATAACATGAATCTTCTTCTTAACTATACAGCGATAGATAATTATAGCAATCATACGTCATACGTAAACAAGTGTGAGGAATATGTTTAGGGGCATATACGGTTTGTTGTAGCAAACGCAGAAAAGCAAAAAACAGAACACAGGGATTTACGTGGTTCGATCACGAGGTGATCTACGTCCACGGGCAAGGCAAGACAAAATTCCACTATAATCAAAGAGAGTACAGTTTTCAGAAGTCGAAACAACGACAAAAGCTCACGGCTTACAAAACTCTCCAAAAACAAAATTCTCTCTGTACATTAATGAGAAAACCTAGCCGCGGTATAAATAGTGCTCCCAAAACTATCGGTCCAACCCTCTGCGTCGCGAACCAAATCTCAATTTTCTCTCCACTTTCGGGTCGCACAAAAATATATGTCGGGTCGGGTCATAAACCGAACCGAGTACATAAAATTCAAGACATATTTAACAAATCTCCACCTTGGTTTGAATTTCCCAAAATAAAACAATCAAGAAGCCGAACACATTCTCTCGGCATCCCTAAGCCTACGTGAGCTAACTCGGTGTAGGAAACAAGGGCTGCAACGAAAGAACATATCCACTTCAAAAACAAATGTAGAACTGTCATTTACCTCGCCACCAAAGCCCCACAAGGGGCAAACTCAACCAAGCATGCCAATCAAGTTCAAGCAATGCTTAAACTTGTTGGCGGGAACTGGCTTGGTCAACATATCAGCAGGATTGTCAGCTGTACCAATTTTCTTTACCGT